ATTTATTCCAGTATTTTTAATTTAATGATTATATATTATGAATTAATTTAGTGCCTTTAATTTGTTTGCAGAAATTATCTTACTATTTTTTATAAAATAAAAAGGAAAAAACTGGCTATTTAAATACTAGGCCTATTTTCATTTCAATTATAGCCAAAATCAACCACCCGAATAACCCAATCCCAATTTCAAACGGACCAGCCCAAATCCTAATATATAGCCCGGCCCCTAACCCGTTAATAAAACCCGCCCGATTTTCTTTTGATCCAGGTCGTTGATCATTTTGGTCAACGGCCACGATTCCCCCTTACCATTTTAATTCACCCAAACCCCAACCCTAATTCATTTCCCTCCAGAGACGCCGCCTTGAAACCCCTTCATCTCTCAAACTCTCTCAAATGTTCTCGAAACCTTAATCGTCTTCTACTGTCTTCTACCTCAAGCTCACCGGAATCCATGGCCTCTTAGGCCATGGATGGTTTAAACTCATCTCCCTCCGCTCTTAAACACTTGGTACTCGAAGGTTCGAGGTCTGACCTCGAAGGTTTTCGTTCAGATCTTTGCAAACTTAAGGTTCTATGGCCATCTCCGATCTTGCTCCGGCAATGGTATTTTGAGCCTGGTTCTGACTTTCCGACCAAGATCGGACATTTTCCAAGACTTTCTCATTCTAGGGTTCTTCTGAAACCCTAACTAGTCGAGGTTTTCTCCGATTTTTCTTAAATCAGTTATATATTTGTGCTATACTTGAGCTTTTGAACGATTTCCTCAACTTTTCTTTCAAAAATTACTTTCAAAAATTACTTCGTTCTGATTTAGGGTTTCCTGAAAATGTTCAAATGTTTCTCTGAATTTTCTTTCCCTTTTTCTTTGTGTGTATTTGTCTCCGCTATGTTCATGTTTTCTTTTCTACCACGCATGTTCTTCTACTGTGTTCTTATGTTTTTCCTTTTATCAAACATGTTCTTCTACTATTCTTTCTTCTACTGTGTTTCTATGCTATGTTTTCACATGGTTTGCCACTATGTTCTGCTATTTGTCTTCCACTATGACTTGATATGCTTCGCCTACTGTATCCTTCTACCACGTTCTTAAGGGTTTACTGTTTCACTTCTACTTTACCTTGTTTTAAGAAACGTTTAAGCATGTTTTTTTCTACTGTTTCTTCTACTCTCGTTGTTTTTCGAATTAGTTTCTTCACTCTGTTTGCTTTGAACTTTCAACCGTATTCTCTTGCTTTCTCATGAGTTTCCGAAAGAAATCTCTGAGCATGTTGCTTCCTCATCTCTGTATTTGACTCGAGGTAGAAACCCTAGAATTTGGGGTTCCTCCGAGTTTGGTCATATGATTGGATTAGGGTTCTGTTTGAGAACCCTTGACTCTTTCAGACTAACCTCTGAGTCTATGAACTAAGTGTGAATTTCTTTTGTTTGCACACAATTCTGATTCCCCTACACTAGACTCTTCTATGGAATAACATGACAAATTTCTTCATGTTTAACGTGTCTGTATGCTTTTATATATGACGAATCTTTCTTCAAAAGGGTTTTCTAACTTGTGATTGATTCAGAATTCCTTTTAATGAGTCTAATTGATTGTTACTGATTTTCTTTAAGTTAAAATCTTTCCCATCTTTCTGACCTGGTTCATTCATACAAAATCTTCAATTTTTTATTTACTAGCTGTTAGTTGATTCCCTTGCCTTATTTGCACAAACCGTGTACTGTCAAGACCTTGTCCTTAAATAAACCTCTATGTATTTACCCCTCTTGTACTGCTTTAAAAAAGTGTTTGATTAATCTCTTTCCTTAATTATTTTTACCCGTTTGAAATCAAAATCCCTTAATTAAAGGGAAACCTTGTGTAATTGATTTTCAAACTATTTTCTTACCTATTTCTGCTTGCTTTCTACACTATAAATACATGACCCTCTTTAATACAAGACGATTAACACACATTACACACTTCAGACACTTATAATCTCATAGTTCTCTTCTAAACTCATAGCTTTCTGACTACTTGTTTGCACTTTGGCTTTACAAGACTACTGCTTTCCTTTGCTTGTTTCCATGAGACTGGTATGTTCTAGTTTTGGTTTCAGCATCACCCCAACGTGTTTATTTACAGCCTTTATATCCATGACTACTTTACTGTCTATATGAAGTTAAATGTCAACTAGCATGTTAATTTCCTTTCATCTGTTTCTGATGTGAATCCCTGCACCCCTGTTTCCCTCTACGTGCTTTGAGTTGTAGTTCAGAACATGGCAACATGCAAGTTATTGTTCATGTTTGGACTTGATCTCTTTGGGGATCCTAACTCCCAAAACAATGTGTTTTAACAGGCTGGTGGGGTGTGCCAGCATTTCCTATTGCTAGGTATGCCCACTAGCCTATCTTTGCCACATTCCTTCTATGCACTTACACTCATTCCTAGTTTCTAAGTTCTGCCCCCCCTCCTGTGAGCCTTGCTTTGGGACCTTGAGTTCCCTCTGAACTTGGACACTTGAGGGCTGGCCCTTCTACACTACACTATGACTCAATCCTACAATGTATTTGGGTGTGAGCACTGCCCGGAGTCCATTTGAGGCTCTTAGGGAACTCTGACACACCCCAAATGAGAGAAAGGCTTTGGATCTTGATCTTTGGAGTTGATTTACTTCATGCTTCAGACAGGAAGTCGGAATCAGGCTCTCCTTGGTTGTAATTTTAATTTTTTCTGATATAGTTTTCTTTATTTTATTTTTTTGGACTGTAATATTTTTGTAATAAACCTCTGGGGTGATTAGTGAAAAGGGAAGGGTAACCATGCATGCAAAAGGGTAGATATCATTCTCATAGGGAATTACTACACTTCTGTACTCATGTATCTTGTCTACAGCTTTGCACGTTTGTATATCACACGTAGATACCATGTCTATAAGGAATACCATGTCTATAAGGAATTCTGCATTATCACATGTAGATACCATGTCTATAAGGAATTCTGCATTATCACATGTAGATACCATGTCTATAGTTTTCTGCATCATCACATATAGATACCATGCCTATAAGTTAACTAGAAATCCAGACTCTACATATGCACTGGTCACTAGGCAAACCTGTTTATAGGATTAAAACTAACAGTATTCAGATACCATGCCCATAGGATTTCTGCACTCTTGCCACGCCCGTAAAAAATGTTTAAAATCAGTAACGCCTAGAGAGCATGCCTATAGGAGCTATCAACCAAAGCTGAATCGTTCGTTCGCTTATAAGTCTAAAATCAGTGGTAGCAATAACGTCTGTAGAATTTATGTTCCTGTAATTGACAATTTCTTTCTTTTAAAATCAGTATACTTCTTTTCTGAAACTAATAGATATCATGCCTATAGGTTTCATTTAACACTCAGGCAAGCTATAAGGTAAACCTATAAATCGAATCAGAATTTATTAACTACAACCAACAGGCAGGCATGATTCGGGCTTCTTATCTGAAATATGCAATAGATCAGTCTGCCATAACTTTTATGTTTAAACATGCCCTAATCAGTACGTGTAAGACATGCTAAACTATCTGTTTCTCTCTAGTTTTTAAGGAGGTTTGTCTGAGCCTTTCTATCTGCTATGTGCTTCTCCCTATATTTGCTATATATGTGTTTTGATTGTCACCTTAGCATTTTGTCCTTTGAAACTATAAAGCCTCATACCCCTTCCCTGTAGGATTAGTAGTCCAAGTACTTCCGGTACTGATAGGATTGGGACGGGTAGTAGCATGCAATAAGTAACGAAACTATTCCGCGCTTTAATACCTTAACGGGGTGGAAAAGGGTATATATGGATATGATAACCATGCGATAACACCACTTGTATAAACGGTTATCCGGTGTTGTATGGGGTGATCCATATTATTTGTAAACCTAGGACCCCCCTCCCTTTACTTATTTATTTTATTCAGGATTTCAAAAACCGCTTCTTCTCAAATTCCAGCTTCTTCAACTTCTTTTAATTTTAATTACTTACAATAATTATGTGAAAACCCTCTCATATTTGTAACTCTTACTTGTCTACTTGTTGTTTATACTTAAAGTCACAATTATAGTATGGCCGGGAACCACACTAGTGGATCTCGAGGGGTGCCTAACACCTTCCCCTCAGGATAATTTCGAGCCCTTACCCAATCTCCGGTTTTCTAAATCAAAGTTCTTCTTAGTGTCCTAATGCACTTAATCATTAGGTGGCGACTCTTCAATTCAAACCCAATTCCCAAAAGGGAACGAGTTGTCCTCCCAAATGTCATAAACCCGATTTCGCGAGAAAAAGGGGGCATCGACACAAGCTGATCCAAACACTATCGTTATAGAAACGGATATAGGATTTAAATTTTTTGGGTTAAATCTTTAAAGTTTTTAGTATTGAATCCATTATATTTTTAAAGTTATGTGTTTTATTTACTAACTATTACTACAATTTTAGTGAAAATTTATACTATATATAAATTTATACTTAGAGTAGAAAGTTATGAGTTTAATTAAAATCGATACCTATAGTGGTATATTCGCCTTGCATCCCCAATATTCTCTGTGTCTCAATATATGTGATGTACTTCCTATTTTAGTCTGTAAAAAATAAATAAATATTATATTTGTATATTAAAAATAATTTAATTTTAAACTTATTATTATATTGTTAAGGAGATAATTTATATTCAAAAATAAGTTTATAATTTATTTTAAATTAAAATATTTAAAACTTTTTAAATTATTTTTAACCCACTCAAATCAAATTTATAACCAATATATTTTATAAAATGAGAATAAATGGAGTATTTTAAAAGAAAAAAGAAAAGCTAAAAACGCGTGAAACCCGAATCCAAACAAGAGGGCAACGTATAAAGCTGAGAGGGGTAGTGTTAGCTTTGATTGTACGCCAAAAATAATGACTACGCAAGAGGATTCTAGAACATGTTCAATGGACCCCACTTCTCCTTCTCCCTGTATAATACCGAAATCTAATTTCCTATTTCTACTTCCCTTCCACTTCTTCCAAAGTACTGGTACCATTATTGGCTCAAAAATCCTCTTCCAGCTCTGCAATTTCCGTCTCCGTCAACTTTCAGTCAACCGAAATCCATCCTCTCTCATTGTTCATCACCTTCAGGTATTTCAAAATTCCTAAATATCTTCATATATCTTCTTAGATCTATTTTTTTTTTTGTTATTCACTATTAATTAACTTTTGGATACGCATCTGAGCTGAAAATTCAGGAGTCAGTGGATTTGCTGAGTTAACGATTTTTGATAATTTTTTTACCTATGCAAAATATCTTTGACGAGCTGAAAAAGCAGAAGTTGTATATCCATTTGAATGTTTGTTCTATTGAAGGAATGGACAGATCTATGGTTTTTTATTATTATTAACAGTTATTGGAATTTCGGTTACGTCTCTTAGCTATAAATTTAGGATCTAGAGTCACTAGATTCCGAGCTAGTACGGTTATTGTATATACGATTTTTAATGTGTCGTAGCTAAAAGCAGTATTTGTAGATTGTCCACTTGGATGCTTGATTCTATTTAAGGAATGAAACAGATCTACCGATTTTATCTCATGAACGTGTATATCTTATGAGATTTAGATTTAGTAAATTTGGGTCAAGTGCGGTTTATTATATTTTTACCATATGAGTATGCGTCATGACTTGAGAGTAGTGTGTAGAGTTATTAAAGAGTGTGTAGAGTTATTAATAGCTTAGATCTGCTCATGATTTCTCTGTACTTTTGGATATAGTTCTTTTTTGTTTGGGTGACGCTGATGTTAGTCAGCTTGTGCGTACCTTGACTATTTCACTGGTACGTGCTACCTCCCATTGGCCTAGGTAGTGGGTAACTTTGCCTACTTAGGCAGATGAATAAAATCACCTAGTGTTTTTGGTACTTGGACTTTAATGTGAGATGTCATGGTTTCCCTTGGCCTCACTTCATTGACCAGTAGTCGCCCTCGGGTGCACTTTTGGGTAGATTTTACTGTGCTGATTGCATTTAGTGCTATTTTGGATCTTGATTTAGGTTTTTTTTTCTTTTCTGGTTTGCTTCTTTTGGTTGTCGTTTTTGAAAATTGAAAATCTATGGTTTGTGACAATAAGGTTTTGAATTGAACGCCAGGTTAGGGTTTGGATTTGAAGGTACACGGGGCTAATTGATGGCGTCGAAGAGGATATTGAAGGAGCTCAAGGATCTGCAGAAGGATCCTCCCACATCATGCAGTGCTGGTATGTTAGCCTGACTTTTTGTCCCTTTTTCAATTTATTGCTTTTCTGGGGTTTCTGTGGAGTGTTCTTAGCTAATGGAATAATAGGTCCCTGTGCATGGATTGTTGATGCTGTTGTAACTGTTCATTCTTATATTTAGTATTGGAATAGTAGCCTTGTGATAACTGGTGAGACCCTCCACTGCCAGTGTGTGGTTGGTGTTTGCGAATCACCAAGGGAGCAAAGCGAGCGGTAAATGGCTGCTATTAGGCTCTTCTTAGGTGTTTGGGAAGGATTATGGAGTCTACTATATCAAAAAAGAAAAGGAAAGAACTTCCAGCTTCTTTCTTAAGGGGGTGAAGGTTCAAAGTATCAAATATAACTTTAAGTGATACGTCAAAGTACTTACATAATTACCTAACATAAGCAGAATCACATGGTAAAAATGTCTGTCTGACTAACATTGTTAGTCGTTTGACTGGTTTTGCTGTTCCTTTCTGATTTGTGCATTATAGTGCAATGTGGAACTGGGCTTATTGCAGTTTTGTGTATCTATAAACTCTTTGTAATGTTTTCGCCGTGGGGATAATGGATGTGAATGTTTACCTCATAAGAATGACCACGAAGTCACGAACCATTAAAAGCGAAGAGTGGTGCCTCATATTTCCTGTCATTCTGTGTTGTACTTTCCTTTTCCTTCTCAGTTTGATTGGCATCACATTTCATATTTGGCCTCCTAGAGATGCTTACCAAAATATTATTTAAAATGGGAAATTGAAGACGTAGCGTATATATGATGTCATTGATTGTAACCTTTGCGGAACGTCATTATGTGTAATGGAATGCACTCCAGATTTATTAGACTTCACTGTTTTCAGTGGCTATCTGGAAGAAACCTTGTGCTCATGTTGACTGGGATATTTGGTTTAATTCAGGTCCAGTGGCAGAGGATATGTTCCATTGGCAAGCAACAATCATGGGGCCTACAGATAGCCCTTATGCCGGAGGTGTATTTTTGGTTTCAATTCATTTCCCTCCGGATTATCCTTTCAAGCCTCCAAAGGTATGCTTTAGCTCCAGAGAGGTCCTTTGTTGCTTTCGTGTTCACATGTAATTTCGATGTTGAACTGGACAAGGAGACGTATAATTATTTTGCATGCATTTGTTTATATATAGAGCCTTAGGAAATCCATCTCAACTATATTTGAGTTGGTTGTTCAAAATTTTCTCCTTGCATAAGCTGTGAAGCTTTTTTACGTGTAGGTCTGACAAAATTTGCAGTGTCCATGTATGTATTGAGAAAATTAACTCAAATTGGCTATTTCTCAAATTCTTTTTGTTTATATAGTGTGAGTGTGTTAGTGTTCGCGCATTGTTGATATTTGTTACATTGGTATATGCTCTTGAATTTACATTCCATAGCCAATGCTCTTCTCCACATATTTCCCACCACGTGGGGATGTAAGGCAGAGTTCTTTGAAGTTCCTGGCCTTCTATCAGTTCTCTTTATCTACTTGTGCTAGAGTCATGGGCTCAATTATTCTCCGTATTTTGGTCTATGTATCTTTATCAGTACTAGGGAGCTGGTGTCTCATTAACGTTAGAACAAGTTAAAGTGCTATTAATTTGCTTCATAAAAAAACTGGTAGTTAATTTGGCGTCAAGCATTCTGCATTTTTATGAAATTGTAAGAATAAATTTTCTCCATTGCCGGATAATATCATTTAAATTTCGAGGTATGATTTTAATTTTTTTCCCTTGATTATTTCAGGTTGCCTTTAGGACTAAGGTTTTCCACCCTAACATCAATAGCAATGGAAGTATTTGTCTGGATATTCTAAAAGAGCAGTGGAGTCCAGCGTTAACCATATCTAAGGTTTGGAGCTTTGCCTTTCTTTTCATTGCTCAACTTAGTTCTGTTTTTGCGGTCATAGGTTGTCTGTGAAATGAATCTCAAAGATGAATATGATGTTGTGGTGCATAATGTGGTTGAGGAGAATTGTCCATGTGATCTACTTCAAGATTCTCGACACCTGCACAAATTTGATCTCTTCTTTTTAAAAGTCTCGCGGCCTTGGTTGACCAAATGATTCTATTTGATTAATTGATTACAATCTCTATTGCCTAGTAGTGAGAGCCACCTAAAATATTATGAAGAATCTGCCAAAAAACGTGACACAAAGTTGTGCATTATTTAGTACTTGACACTCAGTTTCTCACAATATGCAAATTGTAAGTTGATAATGTCTGGATAAAATGCCAAGGAACATGACGGCTTATCCACGTGTTTGGATTTAAAGAGGTAAACAAAGGTAAGAATACCAATTAGAAGAAAGTAAGAAACAAATTGAAGAATTGACCATTCAGAAAAGATTTTCTCATCGAAAACGGATGAGAGTTGGTTTATCTACCACTGCATAACGTGACGAACTTTCTGTAAAACAGGGGTGGGGGGTGGGGGTGAAGGGGCGGAGAAGTTTGGGGTTTTTCTGTTTCATTTTTGATCTTTTTTGTTCCCTTTTGAGTTGCCTCTGGGTGTGAAGGTTTGACCAAACTGGTGATATGCTTACAGGTCCTGCTCTCCATCTGCTCCCTATTGACTGACCCAAATCCAGATGATCCGCTTGTACCAGAAATTGCTCACATGTACAAGACTGATAGGTCCAAATACGAGACCACTGCTCGTAGCTGGACTCAGAAATATGCTATGGGATAATGGCGAAGGCGTCACCAGGCATGTCTGAGACTTTGTAACAGCAATGTCTTATTGTGCGTGTAGTGAATGAATAAATTCGGCTAAAGAACTTAGTTTACTTCTTAATCTCCCTTAAAGTTGGTTGTCAAGAGACATGTCTTTTCAATTTGTGAATATCTATTTGATGACTATTAGTAAGGGAGACACTTCAATGTAATTTTACTTTGTTTGCCAGTTTACCTGAGCCTTTCTCTAGTTTTTCCAATTTGCCTGGCATGTTTGGTTCTGTGTTCAAAGTTTGCATTGATTCACAATTATAGACCTCAACTCTTTTATAACGCCAAAATATTAAAAATGAAAATGGAGGTGTACTGATTACCGTAATATTACAAGAAGTTAGGAGTATGGTGAAGAAGTTAGGAGTATGGTGAAGAATTGTACTAGTAAATTGTATTAGGTCTGTGTAAAGTACGACAGAAATGGTTCAAGAGTTTATGGTAGGTAGAATAGCGTGGTAATTTGCACAGATATAAATGTATGATGAGGTCACAAACTTTATCCTACTGTGCTATTTTTGTTTGTGTAATTTCTTCAGTTTTGTGAAGGTTCAGATACATGAGACCGTTTACCAAAAAGTAGGAAAAATGTAATTGTTGCTGAATGGCAGACGTTGAAGTTTTGTTTTTACCGTAAAGCTTTAGTTGTTTATTGAAGTCGAAGTGTTTAGGCATGCTTCCATTCCAAAGCCTAAATTATAGGCTTAGTAGTTACGTTTTGGGTCAAGTGCATGAACAGAGAAAATAGTGTTGTAATCGAGAATAGCCAAAATAATGGTCAGTTGTAGGAGCAATGAGCAACCAACCCTCGTATAAACTGTTGAAAAAAGAGGCAGTGATAACAAATAGTAGTGTAGTGAAAAGGAATCTGCTGTCAAAACAAATACACTAAAATAATGCATATTAGAGTCCCCTGATATGTTAGCATATGAATTAATTTCAATACATTTTAAGATGTCTATGGTGGGTAATTGGGATTTTGACAGACCTAAGTATTTTTGTGAATGCAATTAGAATAATGGTATGGTGTACCTCAGGTATTTCGGGGGAATTAGTCGAGGTGTACAAAAGCTGATCCAAAGGAATTAGAATAATGGTATGTCAAGTCTGTGGGACAGCTAAATCTAGTATTTTTGGGATGAAACTTAAATATGATTGCCTATACAACGAAGACACCTTTATTATCATAAGTAGTCAAAATAATAGAAGGCAAGTATGATTATAGCATCCTACATTATTGCATTATTTGTAGCTTTCACTAACAAAGCAAAAGCCAGTGCAAATTGTTTCCCAAAGGAGAAAAAGTACATAATGGTGATGACTATACATATTTGTTGCCTTTTACTGTCTATTAGGTACACAATCTTTTAGGTCTCCCAACAAAACATCACACACCAAAGCAAAAAGGATTCTGTAGAGTGCATAAGCTGAGGCTGATTTCAACCCTTAGTGGGGGTACAAGCTTGTTCCATTAAAACCTGCAATTGACATTAACCATATCATGGATTCATAGAGAATATAACAGGAATACAAGGAAAGTCAAAAAAGGATTTAATCTGACAATGTAAATATCCGCTACCAACTAGGGGTGGCAAATGGGTGGGTGGGGTCGGATATGAGCGGGTCGAAAACGGATAATTTCAAAAATGGATAAATTATCTGACCCGATCCATATTTGAGACGGATAAAAAACGGGTTATCCTGCGGAAAATATGGATATCCTTATTATCCATGGCTTCTTGAATATGATTACTTATGGGAGAATTCCCAGTCTCCCAAACTTGAGGAACTCCAGTTTGAGGCTTTACAAATGTAAATGTTAAACACATTAGTTATCCATTAATTATCCATTTGGTTAGCCATTTTCTAAGTGGATAATATGGGTTTATCCATATTCGACCCATTTTAAAAAAGTTCGTTATCCACCCATTTTTAATGGATAATATGGGTGGATAACTGTTTTCCTTAACCATTTTGCCACTTCTACTACCAACGTATTTAGTATGTTGTAATTTGCCTTATTTTCCTTACAACTAGTTCCACTTATAGTATGTTGTAATTTGCCTTATTTTCCTTACAACTAGTTCCACTTACTATGAGTAGTTACCGGTTAGTATCTTTTAATTGACTTAGTAATATAAAATTTTACACTTTATATGCATACAAGTTCAGCTCATAAACCAAAAAGAAATACTTATATACACTGATAGTATAAATAATTTTCTTAAATGACTACAACAACAATAACAAATAACTTTCACAAGTAGGATCTGGGGAGGGTAAATGTATGCAACCTTGCCCTTATCCTGGAAGAGCAAAGAGGATGTTTCCAAAAACCCTCGGCTAAATAACTTTTGAAGATTATTAGCATAATTTAACCAGTTATAGCAGATTAGGTACTCTACTTTATTTTCTATGTAACTAGTACCGTTTATAATAGGCAGTTCTCTTATAAGTAGTGTAATAATAATATTGGGTGTGAGAACGAAGCCCCACATTGGTAGCTAAAAAGATTGGGAGTTTGTTTATAATAGAGGTGGCAAAATAGTTAAAAGAAAACAGTTAACCACCCATATTATCCACTAAACAATGGGTTGGATAATGAGTTTTTTAAAACGGGTCAAATATGGGTAAGAGTCTCAAATTGGAGGTTCTTCAAGTTAGGGAGACTAAGAATTCTCCTGAAAGTGATCATATGCATGAAGCAATGGATAATATGGTTACCCATATTATCCACCGGTTAACCCGTTTTTTTATCTGTATTAAATATGGGTCTGGTCGAATAATTTATCCGTTTTTATTACCCGTTCGACCCGAACCAAACCCGACCCGGCCCGTCCGTTTGCCACTCCTAGTTTATAAGTTGTAGGGATCTTTTAATACTATGAGAGTTTTTGGCTTTAAAGTGGACAATATCACACTATGTTAAAAGTATATTTCGGCTGACTTTGCCCAAAAATAACGTAAAAGTTTCTTTATATCTTCGGTGCATAGAAGTTAAACTCGAAAAATACGAAAGAAAAACCTCGTGGGGTGTAGCAACCAATGTCAATGGTGTCATAGATATGTTGAATTGTAGCTTTATTTGCAAACCAAAAATCACGTTTGACATGATGAATGCAGTCGAGTACTCCTTTTGTATGTTCTGCGCACCCTCTTTTTTCACAGAACTTTTTTCCTTCTTCATTTGTCACATTTAGCCATCCAGATAATGTAAGTGTGTGATCCTTTGAACAAACTGGAGATGTCTGCGTTGCATCATAATGAATAATTTTACACGAAATTCAAGCAAGACAAAAAAAAGGTTAAATCTAAGTTACTGAACTTTATTCGCTATAAACAGTAAAATTAGAAAATTACTTTCTTTTTTTGTTGCAAAAATTAACCTACCATCATGGTGACTTTAGTGTTACAGTGAGTGAAGTTTTGTGACTTTATTATTAAAGTAGGTATAGTTCAGTTGCGTTAGCGCGAATAAAATTGTTTGTGACTTTACTGTTATAGCGGGTAAAGATTATTTTAATATAACAAAACATAGTTTTATGATCTAATATTACTCTCGCTGTCATTTTACTTGTTCACTATACTAAAATATATTTTCACTTTTATTTATTAATTTTAATAAATCAAGAGAAAGCCAAATTCTTTTTTCTGTTTTACCCTTATCGTTAACTACTCATTCTACAAATCATTTTCCGAGAATTCTTAAAATGCTATCCTTATTATGGGTGATGTGGTAAAATACGTACTTCATTTATTATTTCTTAAGGGGCGCGCCATGTCCATTGTGGACAAGTAAAAGTGAACAAGGGAGTATAATAGTACTTACATATATGTTAAATGCTACTAAAACATCAATAAATATTAAATATTGAACCCATAACTTCAAACATATAATGAGTCTAATGCTAAGAATCTAAAATGTTGGATCTATTAAGTTTATATCTTGGATCCAGTGGCGGAACTAGGTGGGTGGAAGGGGGGTCACAGATCCCCTGCGCCAAAGATGACACTGTAGTTATATAAGGAATTTTTTTCATGTATATATATATAGTAGGTGTTGAATCCCCTTAACTTTTTTGCGTGTTTTTTTTTTGAATCCCCTTGATGAAAAGTCTGCTTCCGCCACTGCCTGAATCCCGCCTTTGAGTATAGAGATTTAACTATAATTACTAATAAAAAATAAATTGTGTAAATGACTTTTTCCACTATCAATACATAAAAATGAAACTAGAAAAGAAATAGTAAAAGACTGTTGAAACAGAGTGAAGCTACTTACAATTAGCAAGCAGAAATAAGCACTTCTCCACTGCATAAATGGGGCCAAATTCACATTTTTGGTGGGATGTTGCCTATCTGAATGAATGAAATATACACATGTTAAACTTTGAATTAATTATTTTTCTAAACACTTTTTTTTTAATTTTTTGAAAATATACCTTCTGCACTGACACTCGATAGCAATAAGAACATGCCCAAAAATAAGCAGATGCCAATTCTTCTGCCATAACTCTGAGAATTTTCCATTTTTTATTAGGAGAAAAAAGCAAATTCTAAATCTCAAGATAGTGAAAAAGTTCTTACAAGAATGTTTAGTGTCTGAATCCATAATTAGATTTTTATATGTAGAAAAATAGAAGCATTGGAGGGTGGGATAATTTCTTTGTAAAATAAGTCGTGTCAGCCTAGTGGCATATGCTTAGAATATAAAGTGAATTGAGGAAAACAAGAACAAGATGAAATAAGTAGATTTATTCTTTTTGTTTTTCACTCAAGGTGGATGGAGTTTACAAATTATAAACTGAACTCCGTATTTTTGACACAAAGCCTGAATATATAGTAAAAATCCTTTAAAATTTGACATATATTATATTATGAGCCCATAATTTTAAAAATAAAATGAATTTAATGTTAAAAATCTTAAAGTTTGAATTCCTAAAAAATCCTCTAAGTCTTGAATATGTTTTTGTTAGTATTTGTATTGGACCTGATTAAATCTATATTCCCGTCGAGAAGTCCCAAATAAGTAGATTTAAGGATTAAGTTAGCGTTTGGCCATAGATCCCTAATTTGTTTTGAAAAATTTGATTTGGGTGAAGTTTGGTTTGAAGATGAAAATGTGTTTGGACATATGTTTTTAAAACATATTTTCCAACTTTATTTTGGAAAAACATGTAATAATTTCTAAGTTTTAGGATTTTGGCCCAAAATCAGCTCAATGACTGATTTTGGGATTTAAAATTTGGGATTTGGGATTTGGCCAAAATATGGGCAAAATTTATGGCCAAACATGAGTTTTGAAAATAAATCCCAAATTTATTTTGGAAAAAACTCATGGCCAAACGGGGCCTAAATTTGGCCTTTTATATTGGGGAACAAAGACAAAAGCTTCATTGGAGTAACCGAGATATAAAACTTGTATTTTGGGAAGAATATTATTTTTCATATTCTAATATAGTCTATGAAGAAGCTGGTCAACTCTAAAACATTCTCATACTCAAATCCCTTCTTTTATACTGTTATTGTTTTTTCCTTTATTTTTTTTTGGTTCATTTAAATGGGTTTTTATTGCCTTTTGTTTAAAATATGGGTAGTCAAATTTTTTACAAGGTGGAATTCTTTTAATTTTATGATGTGGAATTTACAGAAATTTGATAAAGTGCTGGCGTGACAAGTACCATATCATAACCCGACACCGAAAATTTTTAACCTCGGCAAGTCATGTTTTTCAGCAATTTACACATAATTCAGTTATTTTAATATAACAAGATTGTTTTTATTACTTTATTATTACAGCGGATAAAGTTAACTTGCAACATGTAATTCTCAAAGCTGGTAATATAATAATCTGAAAAATGTAGTAATATCTTACCATAGCCTATAAAATTCTATGTAAAAATTATTTATGCTTTTATATAAAATCATAAGGGTCGGGTGGTTTTGTATAAAATGAAGCGGGGCTTTAAGATCAATCTCAGATCGGTTTGGTTTGGGGGTTTTTCGGTTTTTAAAATTCAAAATCAAAACCAAATCAAACCAAACAAAAAAGTATCGGTTCTTTTGGTCGGTTTGAATTAGTTTTCGGTTTGGTTGGATTTTTCGGGTTTTTATGAACACCACTAATCTCAGGTCAGCCATGTGTCTTTTTTAGTTTCTTTTTAAAAAAGTTGGGACTAAGAGGGTGTTTGGCTAAGCTTATAAGCTGGTCAAACTAGCTTATAAGCACTTTTCGGCTTATCTACGCCTTTGGTAAAGTTAAAAGTGCTTATAAGCCAAAAATAAGCCAAAAGTCATAAGCTTGTCACCCCCAACTTATGAATTTTTAGCTTATAAACACTTTAAGTTTGACCAAGATTTTTACTATTTTATCCATAAAATATTTCTTTTTAGAACAAAACTCCTACGTCGATACTCACCGTCTCAAGTATTCAACCTAAA